GTGGCGCAATATAAACATTAACCTGTTGCCCTGCATTGACGAAGCACAGACTCACTTTACAATGAGCTTGTTTGGTCCTTTATGTCACACAGATAAATGATTTATGTCTAATATCCCATGAGCGCATAATTATTCATTTTGTCTTGCAGCTTAAACATGGGGCAAAGCTGTGTAAAAGAAATAAGATTGGATGTTTTCCTATACACATGACTGCATTTGCTGGCTCTTTAAAATGCATGGACCTGGTACTAAAAAAAGGTATTTCATTGCAGTTACTGATTATTGGCTCTGTGAAGTTTGTGGACTGGCTATAAATGTGTTTATTCACTTATTCCTTTTTACTATGCAGGTGAAGAATTTGGGTTTAGTATTGAAGAGCATATCAACTTCACAGACAATGAGAAAAGCAGCCCACTCCATGTGGCCGTTCAAAATGGAGGCTTGGAAATTGTGAAAGCATGCATTGAATATGGAGCAAAGATTGACCTCAAACAAGTAGTTGTTATTTTACCAGCATATCACTCATGAAGCATTGAAATACATTGGGACAATGGGGCCAATGTATTAGCTGGACACTGCAATGTTATTCCACACTGGGTCTGTAATTTATAACCCATTCATAAAATGCAGGCCACAGTACGGAGCTTGTGTTGTCTCAGAGTCCCCTTTGCTTAATGCATTGGACCAGACACTCTCGCTTTTTATTGTTTAGGCTTGTTCATTTGAATAGCACAGTGAACATTTGTAAAGCACACTACTGTAGTTGATACATATGAATGTGTCATACCACTGCAGCTTTTTAAAGGATCCCTGTAGCATGTTCTGTGTTAGTCTCCTCCTTCTTGGTGTGGTAAAAACAAGCTGCCCACTACTCCCCAGAAAACTAGATTGATTCAAACAGCCTCGGGTGCTTTGGGAATGCAAAAGTGTGCTGAAGCATAGAGATGTTGATACAGCAGTTCTCAGTGAACTCAAACAGAAGCTGCATGCTGTTTGGGAAACTGAAGAGTATAACCTGCATCCTCCAGTGCAGAGAATAACATGGCTAACTTAGGTTTGTAAAGTAGTGTTCACCTTGCCAGCTCAAATAAACACATTGGCTGCTGTAAAGTTCACCAACTTTTGGTGTTATCACCACTTCTAAATGTAGTGCAAGATTTTGTACAAAAATATTTGCCAACAGTAGAGCCTGCTTATTCAGCAAGGAAAAACAGTGTTTTATTTTCACAGTTTTGTTATTCTGATGGGTTAAAACATTTTGAAAAAGCCATCAAATTTAATAAAATATCTTAAACAAAAGCAATTAATGTTTCTCATTTACATGAGGAGGCTAGTAGTAGTCAATAAGAGCTAAAATTGTAGGTATCAGCACAGTACTAAAACCCAAAGTGCTGACAATCTTTTATATCCACTTTAACACTCTGCAATCCTTTACTCAATATGGAAGTTTAAAAATGATATGCACCTTTAAAAGCAAATTATTTTGAAATGTACAACATAGCAATCGCATGTTTTCCACATAACCAGCCATTCTACTTCTGTCACTTTCTGTTGCAGAATGATAATGCCACAGCTCTTCATTTTGCTTCTACTCAAGGAGCAACTGAAATTGTCAAATTCATGGTCTCATCCTACACTGGCGATAAGAATATTATTGACTTGCCAGATGGAAATAATGAAACACCACTTCATAAGTAAGAAATCCTCTTTTTGTCTATAAAAAAAGGCCATACGCTTAGCTATGAGGACCCAAACACTCCCTCCTCCACTGTCTCTCCCCCTCCTACTTTCTTACAATCTTTTTTTCATCTATCTTCTGCATTTTCATGAGACTGAGTCAATTAGAGCAAGGTCTATATTGCACGCATACTATAACTACTATCTAAGTCCAGATAAAGCATTGCTATCCCAACACTGAGCCCTGTATCCATATGGCATTTGACGGTTTACAAACTGGGGCTAAATAACAGAAAAGGGTAGGTTTTTCTTAACTTGGAAAGAAGTCAAGGTCATGTAATGCAGCTTGAGCCAAGGTCCAAGGGGCCAGTTAAATGATTACAACAAGTACTTGCAGGCACCACAAGATGCCTGCACTTCAACTCTGTTATTGCATTTGACTCATGTCAAGTTCACATACTCAGGTCTAAAGCACAAAAAAAAAACCGAAACAGGGAAGTAGAACACCAAAAGGTGTGGGGAAGTGCTGAAAATCGGGGCAGACAGGAGAGCCAGGAATTATGGTAAACTCACTGGTGGATCTCCCAGGAAATAGCTAATGTGTGGCCACCAAAACCTACCTATGTTTAACATATCATTTTTGGATGGTCAAGCACTAAAATTATCTACAATCAGCAAATTAGTTCATTGTTCCTTTAACCTAGACTATCTATTGTTTTACATACAAAGCATTACCAGTCATGCACATATGTATTAGCATAAAATTTGTATAAGATTAATGGATAGAATGTTAACTGTATTAAGGCAAAAACGTTCTCTGCAATTACCTATTTATTAGAAATATTAGAAGTTCTGAAAAAAATTTGGAATGATTTCATATACTGTATACGCATTACAGTTTGCCTAGTGTAAATAATATGGATCACAATAAATGACCTGGTCGATAATGATAAATAGTATAATGAATAAATCATAATAAAGAAGGGATTTCTTTTCAACAAAAATAAACTGCATTTAGGAATTTCATTTGGTTACACATGGTAATATAACCAGGTAGAAGTGAATGTTTGTTGTGAAATTTTGTGACAGTATATCCTTGAACAATGTGTAAACATTAAAAACCCATAAATGTTTGTTCGCTTATGTACCAATGTAGCAATATACTAATAAAAGTGGAGTATAAATGATAGAAGGTAATAAGATTTATGGTTAAACTGTATCTCCTGGTTGTCCATCTGTTACTTTCAGTAATTTATGGTGACTGCATGTGGAAACATCAGTTCACTGTATCTAATAGTTCTTATAGCTTAGCTCATAAAAAAGTGTTATTGTACTTTGGATTTTTTAGAACCATTTGAATTGTGCCAAAGTAAAGTGTCCTCTAAGTTTGTTAGCGGGAAGATAAAAAAAAAAGAAAGTAACTCCAGGCAGATACGAAAAACACAATTTATGTAGTTGTTATTCCTGTAAAAAATATTTAAATGTATTTTACATGTAACTTACATAACTGTCGTACTCTAACTTGATATCAGCTTCCTATTATCACTTACACAGCAACAAAGACTTGGAGAGGGAGGAAAAGCACAGGAAGCGGGTTAGATTCTGCTGCATTCACATGTGCTGACAGGGAACATGCTGACGAGGGCAAAGTGAGCAGAAATGAGGTCTTCAGTGTGTAGCTGCTTCTTCATTGTTGATACCGCTCATAAACAAATGCACTGGGCAGTGGCGGAACTACCGCCGGTGCAGGCGGTGCGGGCGCCCGGGGCCTCAGGCTCTGGGGGGGCCCAAGCAAGATTCCGGCCGCCGGATCAGTATCCAGCGCCCGGCGGGCCCCTGGTCTCTCCTAAAAAAATCTTGCACCAGGGCCCTTTGTTCCTTAGGTCCGCCACTGGCACTGGGGTTGAACAATAAAGCTGTGCTGTTCGGCACACACATCCAAATTAAGTCTACAGGAAATCCAAAGTAGATATAGAGACACTCACAGGTCAAAGCATCAACGTTTTTTTGTCTTTCTAGGTCCTGCTTTTAAATAAAGGTGTATGCACAGACCCTTCCTTTCTAAGTGTGAGAACATTGATTTTAGCTGCAATGTTGTCACCCTTTCCTGTGCACCCCTGAGTTGGACCCCTGAGTAACTTAGAATGGATTTCCTACATAATAATTTTTCACAAATTTGCAAAATATCAAATTTTCAAAGAGAAGAAAAATATAAAAAGGGGGAGGTGTGGAGCCAAAAAAGGAGGGATATCAAATAGAAAAAAAATCAATTCTATATGTCCCCATGAAAGCTTAAAGGCACACTGCGGGCACATTACACTGGGTGTGTAAATAATAATTTAAAAAGTTGGGTGCTATGTGCACCTTACCTTGCAACACACCCTTTTTTAATGAGTTTTTTTTTAAAGTTTTGCCCAGAGCGTGGCTTTAACTATCTCAAAGCCCACCAAAGCTTAATTATTTGAAATTAACTTGAACTTTAACATTTCATCTTTGGCATTTTGCCAATCATAATTTGTGTTGCATGTTCTTATCTCTTTTTATTGCTTTTCTCTAATAATTGCCCTGCTTTCATTTTTTTAACAGATCATGTTTGTTTGACCATGTTGACCTGGCAGAATATTTATTATCTATGGTAAATATATCATGCACTGTGTAAACTGATACAGTTTTGGTGGCAATTGTTCAAAAATCACAGCTCCAGCCAAAACTATTTTGTTTTGCTTTGGATAGAATTAGGAAAGGTTAAAACTTATTTTCTAATCATTGGTTTTGAATGCTTTTTGCATCGTTTGCATCCTTATTTAGAATTTTTTGTTGGATTTTATTTTGATTGTGTCCCCATAGAGCTCCTCATATTATAGGCAGCAATAAAATTCTGACAGCGGTTCTAAACTTACCTCTCCTGGAAATGTTTTTTTTAATTGCAGTCTCTATTCCCAATGGGGAGATGTTCCTTCTTGCCCGCTCCTTCTGACACCTGCACAGAAATAGAAAGTGTGAAAAAAAATCTCCCACATAGTAGAAAATAAAAGTTGACAGATGATCTAACTTTACCAACTGTTCCCGAAAGTTAAAAAAAAAAAAGTTTTGACTGGAGTTAGGCTTTAAAAATGAACTGAAAAATAAAATGCAAATATATTACTGCAGTATACACTGAGTGGCCTGATTATTATATGAGTCATCTCGTGGCCCAACGAAGTATTGATGGGGTGGTCATAATAATCTGGCCACTCGGTGTATGTGATCAATGCAGTTATGAGGTTCTCAACATGTTATTATTTATTTAACCCCTTCGTGACGGGAGACGTACAGTGTACGTCCCGTCACAAAGTGGCTATATGACTAGCCACGTACACTGTACGTGCCGAGTTATATTAGCCTCTGTAATGCTGGT